AAGTCATGGGCAGGAATGGCCTTCAAAGCGCGCGACGATTCAGGTTGAATCTCTTCAATCGATTCAAAACGGAGGCATAAGTCGCACGGTGTGAATACGGGGATTGTGGAACGATATGGGTTTCATTTTTGGCGAGAAAGTCACGAAGAATCAATGCGGTGTGAGCTGGCGCATTATCGTGATGCAAAAACCAAGAGTTGTCTTTCCATAAACGTGGTTTCTTTTTGCGAATAGCTTCATGCAAACGACGATAACACTCAAGTAATATTTCTTGTTGACAGTTTGATCTGGCGGAAGGAATTCATAATGCACCACATCACGGTAATCGAAGAAAACAGTCAACATGACCTTGCTTTTTGAACTAGTTTGGCTTGCTCTTTTCGGTCTTGTTTCACGATATTCGCTCGATTAACCGATTATTTCGGAGTCGTAAGCATAAATCCAAGTCTCATCTCCAGTTATGACGTATTTCAACCTTTCCTGATAGTCAGAAAAGCATTTTTCACACACTTCAAAGCGACGATCTTTTTCCAAAAATTCAGTGTTTCGGTATCAATCGAGATTTGACGCAATTGAGGCCCAAAATATCTTTTAAAATGGAATTGATGGATCCTTTTGAAATTTTCAACAACATCACCAAGGTCTCTAATTGTAAATCGATGGTTTGCAAGCACCAAATCTTAAATTTTTTGGACGTGAGCTTCGTCGGTTGAGGTGGAGGGTCGACCAGAGCGATCTTCGTCTTCAACGCGTTTTCTGCCTTATTTGAACTATTTATACCACTTGTAAACATTTCTTTCCGATACAGTTTGCTCACCGAATGTTTTCTGCAGCCTTCTATACGTTTCCGCATACAAATATTCATTTCGCAAACAAAATTTAATGCAAGTTCTTTGCTCAATTAATTGAAAATGAATTTGGAACTATAAATTAAGAGTTTTTGAAAAAAAAAAAAAAATTGGCCTTATGTTTTGGGCATAGTAGTAAACTCTACAGATTTTGCAGAATGGGACTGATATCACATTAATTTCATCTTAACTTCACTTTCCAAACAATTCTTAGATTTTTATCTTTCCTAGTCGACTTTTAGTTCCTTAAAACACAATCTGCAAATATAATTTCATTTTTCCAAACTGTATTTTAAACATTTATATGAGTCCTACCATATTTGTAATTTACACTTTAACGTAGTGTTTAGGAAGTAAGTGATTTTTATATCAAGTAACTAATTGAAGTTCCCATGTTTTTATATAAGCATTATAAAAATATAAATTTAAGAGTATATTTTGAAGTGCAGCTGAATGTTGTTTTTTTCTGCATGAAATAACTAGATATTTAATAAAATAGAAAATTTCATACTTTAACAGTAATATATTATATGCGAAAATATATTGATGGAAAATTTAATTTTTGTAAATATTTCTAGGGACAAAGAGTAGCGATTGGCGTGGTGAGTATTTTTTTTTTTTTTTTTTATTTTTATATTGGATATTTTATATTGGATTATTTTTTATTTCAAATTAAAAATTCAAGGTAGTCTTAAAATTTACACATTTTAATTTATAACAAATTGTAACTTAAGAAGACAAAAAAAAAAATTTAATGAGGATTTTATTTTATTTAATAGTATCGTTCACATATGAGGTGTTTTCAGAACAAGTAATATTTATAAAAAAAAATTTTAAGTCAATTCCTACTTTTTTCCCCTATAAATAGACCTTTACAAATAAAGTTGAAATTTTCTTCTTACATCTGGAGCCATCTATTATTAGATACATGTAACACAAGTCGAACAAAAACTAAAATTAATTAATTAAGTTTAATGAATTAATTAATATTTGAAAACACTGTATTAACATGAAGTGTCATACGCTACAAGTTCAAAAAAATGTATTTAAACTTGAGGGGATGAATAAAAAGTATTTTAATAATGCTTGAAAATTTGAACAAGATATATATAGGGAGAGTGTGCACTAATAGTAGGAATTTAAAAGGACAAATTTATGGCTTTCATTCTTTATTTAATGGAACTGGATTGAAGTCTAACTGTACGTATTTAAAATGAATTCCCCTAATAGTTAGCTTTTTGACACCATGAAATGATATTTTATGAATATTTAAAAAGTGATATATTTAGAATCAAATTACAATACTCAGAGCTCTATAGGAGACATAATGAACTGTAGTAGAACACAATAGTATGTTAAATTTTTTAAATAATGCTTTTTGTTTCAAAAGAATGTATTTGCTTTTTAAGTCCAGAGGTTAAATTATTTAAACTTTTTTTCGTGTAAAAATGTTTTGAATTTCAAGACGATTTCAATATTTTGGCAATAGTTCCCTTTTTACTTACTAAAATAAATTAATTTTTTTAAGTCAGATTGTTAAAAATTGTAATGTGTTATATAACGTGCAATTAAAAATGAACCACTGTATGTTTTTATAAAATATTTAATACATAAACAAGTTTTTAAAAAAAGATTAAAAAAATTTTTTTAAAAACGATGTTTTGTAGCAATAAATTTATATGCATTTTTAAGTGAATAAAAATAAATAGAAAATTTTGACAAAGATTTGGTTAATTGCATTTTTTCAAATTATTTTTTTATCTTATTTTTTTATTTTTGAAACTAATTTTTATTAAAGATATCAGTAATTTCAATTTTATTTTAAAAGATTTACATTTAACAAGCGTTTATCAAACAAAAAAAACATTTTTATAAAAGTAAAAATACCAGATATTGAATATCAAATTTGTTTCTATAAATATACTCAATATGAACATGTTTCAACACGCTCAAGTTTAACAATTTTTAGTAGCTTTACTTTTTACAATATTTATTTAATTTGTTTATAAAAATTGAGTAACTTTATTTAATAATTGCGATCTATATTTTTGTTACAGGCATACTTAGTTCCCATGGTTCAGGCTCACGAAACTAAGATAAATCGATTGATAGAGAGAATTGATCAACTTGAAGAAGAAAATATCACAGCAGTTGCAAATAAGGTAAATTTTGATATACTTGTTAGAATTCTATTAACTCCATTTTGAGACCCTATTTATTAGGATTCTATTAATTAGGAATTCATTTCATTTTTCGAATTATTTTTAATTTTACGATAAATCTAAGGAAATATGTTTTTAATAAATTCCGACTTGTTGGTTGCAAAAATAAGTTAGATTGATGAGTCTAGCCTTATAAATTAGTTATGCCTTATGTATATTTCTGGAAATTACAATTAAAAGACAGTGCATAATATTAATCTAAATGCTTACTGGAATTTACTGTCGTTAAGTTACATAAATATCAATCAATGAAATATACGGATTCAAATTTGTCGCGTTAAGATCGTGACCAGTCAATAATCTAACAATGTAACAAGCAGCCTATAGGATTTTCCTATAGGCTAACTAGACTTCAGCCTAGGGCCTCAAGGTCAAGAGGGGCCTACATTCAAATTGTTAGCAAAATTAGAATTGCACTATTCTTAAAATAGTAAACACTAGGTAACAATTTATAGAAGAAATTCTTCTGATCTACCATTTCGTTTTAAATGCATACTTGGATTGAATCAGTTCTTAAATAAAATAACTATTAACATAAAATTTAATATGATATACAATTTGATATTTTCTTTTTTTTTTTTAATCTGGATTTTGTCTGAATAAAGTTCCATTTTTGGTTGAGTTTCAAACTTAAAATTCACAATAATTCATACTTAAACTTTAGATGCCAATTATTATGAAATAAATTTATCTGAATTGAATTTGCTTTAATCTTCAATGCATTGAATATATTCAATTCAATTTGATAGAAAATAGGACAATTTTATTGCATATTTTATTTTCGCAGTCAAAGATTTTATTATTTGAACTTTGTTTCTTTGTAAATGTTGTGTGTTGTGCTTGATGAGTTATTGTTACAAGTACTCTATAGGGTGCTGAGAATAATTGACCAAATAAGTGTTCTCAACTATTTTTTTTTATTTATCATCCGTGCAACATTTTTGTATAAAGATTAGTACTAATGACAACATGTTTCATTTAGCATATTGATATATATCACAGTAATGATGTATTTTATTATGTCTTATGTAATTTACAAACTTAAAAATGGGAGGTGAAAGGGCCTCAAAAGTGGAATAGCCTAGGGCCTCTTTTCATTTAAATCCGGCCCTGATAACAAGGCAATATCCATTATAGGTGTTATATATTTTACTACATGCCGATGAAGCCCAAAATTTATTCTCAAAAGAATTACCCTATTTCTTTTTAATGGTATTTCTGAGCAATTATCGAATAATTTTGGATCAAATAGTCAGAGTTTTCACTTCCTGAGACCCCACAATGTGCTGATATTAATTGTACAAAGTTGTATCAGATAAAAGCTATGAAAATCTTCTTCCTCAATAAAACCACGGAATAAACGTTGGAAATAAATGTCTAAGGGGACAAGATAAACCTGGTAACAAGATATTACTCCAACCTTCTTGACCAGCTGGATGCCAAAATTCGCGAGAAGAGGCCTGGATTGAAGAAGAAAAAAGTCATCTTTCATCAAGACAACGCACCTGTGCACAAGGGTGCGTTGGCGATGGAAAACTGTGGGATTTGTGGTACGATTTGTTCGGCCATCCCCCTCTATTCTCCTGATTTGACACCCTGAGACTTTCATTTGTTCCCAAACTTGGAGAAATCTGTTTCTGTGAAGCGCTTTGCAACCAATGAAGAAATTGAGTGGGCCTGCAGATGAATATTTTCACAACCTTCCAGACTCTCACTTTCCAGAAGGAATACTGATGTTGGAGAAACGTTGGATCAAGTGTGTTGAAGTCAACGGAGATTATGTAGAAAAATGAAATCATTTTTTAACTGAAAGTCGCAGTGTTTCATTGTCAGTCTGAGAACTTTCCATCTCACCCTCGTATCTGATGGAAAAAGAAAATCAATAAGCTCAAAGAAAAATGGAATACATCTATTTTTGAAAATAACATTAAGCGGCCATATCATGCTGAATATACCGGTACTAATTAGATCACCGAAGTCAAGCATCATTGGGCCCGGTCAGTACTTGGTGACTACCTGGGAACACCGCGTGCTGTTGGCATTCACAAATTTGGGACCTGAATGGCCGAGTGTCTAGCGCTCTGGCGCTCTGTGCCACAGATTACGGGTTCGAATCCCGGCGGTGCCATGGATGTTTGTAGTGGTTCGGAATCCTCTTTAAGCCATACGTCCCGGTCTCCTATGACTGTAAGAGCGTCACGGAGCCAAAGTCAGACTTCTACCCACGGGTGCTCCATCACAACAGAAGCTGCTTCCTTCCCCTTCAATCATGAATACGTATGAGCTCGTGGGCTTGGCCAGCCAAGTGGGATAAGAAACAACAACAACAAACAACAACATTAAGCGCACCGCATCTTGTGCTGAATTCTGCCTTGTTGACTTATTCATATTTATTCAACAGGTTGACCGTTTTTATTGGTACTGGACAAGGTGCAATCTCTAATAGAGCATTCAAGAAGAGTTAGTGCAAAGGTATGTATTGTCATCTGTTTATTTATTTATTAAATGTGGTAATTTAACATTTAGAGCGACAGTTATTTATTTTAATAATTTTTTTAAATATTTAATATTATTATCATACTTTATCATTACTTACAACTAAGCAACAAATATTAAAATAAAATGGCATTCGTCTATTAAAAACGTTGCAAAAACAGATTTGAAATTATTTTGTAATATATTTATGTTGTTGATAAAAAAATTCTAGATAACTATGCTAATTTATGTTTTGAAAATTTTAGTGCGACGTATTAAGCAAATTGAGAATTAAAATATACAAATTTCTTCTGTCTTAAGTGCAACAAATTTTCATGAAATTTTAAAAAGAAGAAAATTTTAAAAGTAAGGTCTGAAATTCTTCAGTTGTATTTTAAATAAGTATTACAAATGTAAGAAGAAGGAAAAACCAATAAATTGATATGCAATTAAAGTTGATGGCTAATGGTTAATGATGGTTTTGGTTAATGACGATAATCTAGGAACGAATTACCGTCGTTAACCAAAGCATCACCTTATAATTAATTCATTTTTTCCACGAATTTATGAAAAAAATGCTTTATTTAATGAGAGAAAATAATGATTAATAATTTCTTATTTAAATTCCTCTCATTTCTTAAACTATTTTCAAGGGTCTATACACAAATAATATCTTAAATCTTTAAAAAAGTTTGTTCGCATGTTACTGAATAATTTTTTAAAAGTAAATAAATTAAAACAACTTTTTTTCAATTTTATAGATTTATTTATTTTTTTACATTCATAAAACATAAATTTAATGAGACGCTATATAGTTTTGTTTTGTTTTTTTAAATGTCTTGTTATTATTCTAGGTTCAACAACTTGGGAATAAAGTAAACACTCTCACAGAGGTACAGTAAACCTTTATACTCTTAAAAATTTATTTTAATATATAATATATTAAATTTTTTATGCTCTTTTATTTTGAACTCAAAACTCTTTAAAACTCAAAACTGTAGATTAAGTTTAAATATTCTTGCTGTCAAAATGTATATAAAGTGAATGTAAAAAAAAAGGATTTATTATACTACTGACCATTAAAATTTCTACACCAAGAAGGCGACATGCTAGAGACGTGACATTTAAATGACAGGAAGAAGGTGCTGTGTTATGCAAATGATTAGCTTTTCAGTGCATTCAGACAAAGCAGGCGCCGGTAGCGACACATACAATGTGCTTAAATGAGGCAATAGTTCAGCCGGTTTCTCATACACAAATTGCATTTGAACGTTGTTGCCAGGGGAAAAGTTGTTGAGATGCCTCGTGTATGAAGCAGAAATGCGTACCAGCATGCTTCTGACTTTGATAAAGATCGAACTGTAGCATACAGGGATTGCTGTTTATCATATCGCTGTATTGCTGATCGCGTCGATCGAGATCCAATGATTGTTAGCAGAATATTGAATCGATGGTCTCAGAACGGTAATACGGAACGCCGTGCTGGATCTCAACGGCCCCCTAGCAACCGAGAAGACAGGCATGCTACTCGCATGGCCTTAATGGATCGCTCAGCCACGTCGCGAGCCCTGAGTCAAGAATTGGGTTCGTTTTCAAGACAACAAGTGTCTGCACGAACAGTTTGATGACGTTTGCAGCAGCATGGACTCTCAGCTCGGAGACCAAAGTTGCGGCTACCTTTGACACTGCATCACAGACAGGAACGTCTTCAATGGTGTGATCAACGACGAACCTGGGCGCAAGAATGGCGAGACGTTATTTTTTCAGATGAATCCAGGTTCTGCTTACAGCATGAAGATGGTCGCATCCGTGTATGACGGTATCGTGGTGAACGCACATTGGCAGCGTGCATTCGTTATCGTCATACTGGCCCATCATCTGGTGTGATGGTATGGGGTGCTATTGGATACACGTCTCGGTCACCTCTTGTTCGCATTGACGGCACTTTGAACAGTCCACCTTACATTTCTGGTGTGTTACGATCCGTGGCTCTACCCTTTATTCGACCCCTGCGAAACCCTGCGTTTCAGCAGGATAATGCACGATCGCATGTTACCGATATTGTACAGACATTCCTTCATACGGAAAATGTTCGGCTATTTCCCTGGCCTGCACGTTCACCAGATCTCTCGCCATATCCAGATATCTTCCTGGTGTAGCAATTTTAATGGCTAGTAGTGTAGCAATCCTTACAGATCACTGATGCTTCTTAATTCGTAAGCACGGATGTGATAGACGGGATATAGTACTCGAGTAAAATGAATAACTATTTACATATAGAAAAATGATTTCTATTTAAATTACGTTAAGTATTACTTAATTATTGAAGAAAATTTTTTGTAATAATCCAAGTATATTATTTGTTTTGTTCCATTAGACATAAATCTGTTTTTTCATTGACCATGAATAGTTTCTTAAAAGTACTTTAATTTTTATAGCTTCTAACGCAGAATGAATGTAATAGTAACCCTTGCAGAAATGGAGGATCCTGTGTTGATACTTACAATGGGTTTATATGTAACTGTCCCCCAACCTGGGAAGTAAGTAATATTTAATTAAACTGTAAACAAGTAATATAAAAAAAAAATTGTTTGTAAATCAATTCCTACTTTTTTTCACTATATTGCTGAAACTCCTTTACAAATAATTTTCATTCATTTTGAGTGGATGAATAAAAAGTATTTTATCAACGATTGAAAATTTGAACAAGATATATAAAAATATGTAGGGAGAATGTTAATTAATAGTAGGAATTGAATAAAAAAGAAAGGTTTTCATTTTAAGTTGAAATTTTCCACTTACATCTGGCGCCATCTATTATTAGATACATGCAACTTAACTAAAATTACAAAAATAAAACTAAAATTAATTGATCAAATTTAATTACTGAATTAATATTTGAAAAAACTGTATTAACATCAAGTGTCGTCCACTACAAGTTCAAAAAATGTATTTGAATTTGAGTGTATGGATAAAAAGTATTTTATGAACGATTGAAAATTTGAACAAGATATATATAGGGAGATTGTGAACTAATAATAGGAATTGATAAAATGACACTGATTTTTTTTCAAATAAATGAAATTTTTTAATATTTTACGTGAAGTAGATAGTTTTACAATCCATTTTAGATGATAATTTTAATATTTAAAGCTTAGAAATTGTATAAGTTATTCAAATTCTTAAGAAATGTATTCCGTAAAAACTAACGCGAAATTAATTAAAATGCAATTAAAAATTAGTGTTTGAGGTTAATATGGTTAAGATATTTTAATTTGTGATAGAGAAATCTTATAAAAACCTAAAACTTCTTCTAAAATTAAATTTCAATAGAATTGTAATCAAATTCTGAGATACATACTATAGTCAAAAATACAGGGTGATTATAATTAAAGACCCACTTTCAGAATACTGAAAAAGAACCATTCGTCACAGTGAGTTTAAATTTGAACTGAAGATACTTGAAGAAGGGGGAAACGGTACGGCATCAAAAAAAAAAAATTCCAAAAAAAAGTTCCACCTATTTTTCCCATCCAGTTTGGTATGATCTTGCCGTAGTGGATGGGCTTTCCACTAACAGTGTCACAACTGTTGAATGACTCAGAAGTCATTTTTTCCGTCAAAAACCGAAACAATCAAGTTCATTGAACACTACTGTTGATTTAATGTTCAACTCATGCGAAATAAGTTGTCATTTCGATTCAAAATAACACTAACAGCCGAATTCACTTTCTTCATGCCCTTACAGCGCCATGTATTAATACACTTCGTAATTGTTTTGATGCCGTACTGCTTCCCCTTCTTCAAGTATCTTCAATTCAAATTTGAACTCATTGTGACGAATGATTCTTTTTTTACAGCATTTTGAAAGTGGGACTTTAATTGTAATCACCCTGTATATCTTACTGTTTAACTTTATGAGAGTATTATGTGTCGAATGCATATTCAATTAGAATAAATAATGAAATATTTAATATAAAAAGTTAAAACAAAACTACAAATAAAGTATTACTTTTTATATAATGTTTTTTTTTTATCATTTGAAGTTCTATTTAATTATAAAATTTCAATGATTAAAATAAATATTTTTTAAGAAAATCATTTTTACATATTCTTTTCTTCAAAATAAAATTATTCAATTAATATTTCTTCTTGAGACATATATGACATAATAATCCCCTTGTTTTAAATCTATCATCAAATATAACGCCCTCATTTATGGTTACAGAATACGAATACATTGAGAACGATATTCTGCAACTTATAAATGATATCGGGTTCTTCATCATATGAAACTAAAACACTTAAAAAATGTACCTTTAATGAACTAACATTACCTGTGGGGAGATAGGAACCCTTTAATTACTTCAATGAATGATAGCATTTTAGATAAAATGTCTGTTCTGCACTATTTCTGCATATGGAGATTTTGCTTCACTTCAGTCAACGCCCGTCCGTGGCCTCTCGAACATTCGACGCCGTGACGCCCAGTAAAGATTTGCTATCTCTTCGTAGCTTCCGTCGTGGTCGACATCGTCAAGTGTACTGCAAGATGGGAAGTGG